AGAAGTCATTGTTTACAAAAGCGGTTACGCCCTAATTCCAGCTCTATCTAGAATTGCTAATCATTATCTCAGAAATCATATATAGGGTATACGTCCCTAACCTCGGTCTAATATGCAGCCATCGATTACGTTTTTAATCATAACTCATCAATGAATTTACCTGCAAACGATATTCTACTGCTAAATGGTATGCTTAGATATGCTTATCATGTCGTTTGCTATCAGAAACCACGAAAAGTTGAAAAACTTACTTTTTTTAAGACAATAACTCACGAGGGAAATGTATGTAATATGGGTCTATTGTCCCCAAATTGGGTCTATTTATGGATGCAACTTCGTCCTATCTTGTTTGATCCTCAAAAAAACGCTCTTGGTAACGTTTTCTGATGTATTTTTTTTTATCACTATCACTGTTAACTTAATGCTCTTCATTCCTCAAAACATTTCTTAGAGAAAATTTTACGAAAACTACATTAAATCACTCAATTTAAAAATTAAAAATTAAAAATTTCGCTTATCGTCTTTTGACCGCAGAATATCTAAATCAGAGCATTGTGATGTTCATTATACAGGTTTGGCAGAAAAAATCTCCCTTCCTGTTCGTTCCTTATCATCCAAATGCAAAACAACATTGTTGACGTTACTCTTATTGCTATATGCTGTCAAATGAATTTCATGGGCCATAGTTAGGAACATAGAAAAGAAATGTGTCCCTAAAGTTGGGTCCATGTTTTACTTGTGAAAACGTTGTTAAACAATTAAAATAAACATAAAATATTCAAACAGCAACTGTAAGTTTTACGTCTAGTGTGTATTATCAGGTAATTCCAATCAATAAATGCCATAATCAGGCCATTTGATGATCGTCAGTCAACCTTCCCATCTTAACCTTATAAGTCATGGCGGCTAAAAACTCCGAACATTGTGATATTCTCAACCAGTTTTATTACTTACGAGAGCTGAAAATGTATTGAAATGTTGTGATATAAATTGATTTGTGTGTGGTACACATTTATCAACCATCAGTGATCAATATTTTCCTTATTTTTTGTGTAATATTCCTTAATTAATTATTTATTTGCGTGATAGGCCGAATGAAAGGACTAGACCCACATTACATACCGTAACCCTATGTTAGATGTTTTCTACCCAATAAGACGAAAATGAGTGATAAGGCCGTATTAAATTATTGTCCTATGTCAATTGAATTGTTTTGCTTTGAATTCGGGAGCTCATATACCGTGAATGCTATATCAAAACAGCCAGGCCTACTGTGAAGCATTTAAGGGGCAAGATGATTCAGAAACATTGGGCCTGTTTGAGTCAAAGATTTAAACATAATGCTTCAGAATCCAATAAATAGATGAAACGTGGAAATCTCGTACCGTACGTTCCGTTGTATTGTTATTTAGAAATGATTGGTCATTGGAAGCATTTAGTCTAAAAATGTTAAGGGATGCGTCATCTTCCTTTATTGTTCTGGACATGAGCACTAACTCATGTCCTAGCCCTATACGGCCTATGGTTATAGCACCATTACTCGCTTTCTGAAAAGAGATGAAGGAAATGAAAAAAGGGAAAAGAAGCTAGTTTTGTGGGCATCTTGAAAAGGAAGTTCGCCGAACCGGAAATTAAATTTCGTTTTCGGTGCCTTTTTATTTTTTTCCAAAAATTGCGAGAAAAAACATAAAAAATCCAAGAAAATCAGTTCCCTCCTCATATTCCCGAATAAATTCACATGCAAAACATGTTTTCCGTCTCATCATTAAAAAATTAGACACTCAGCAAAACCGAAAGGTTGCTGTTACGTGTTTTTTGAGTCCAGTTTGCAGTTAAATCCTGTTAAGTTAAGCAATCAGAAAAAAAAATGTGATGTCTTTAGATTTCGGTTATCTCTCTCCAATACCATTACAAACATCAAAACGTAATCATTTTTCCGTGAACTTCCCCTTAACTGGATATCTGTGTGTGTGAGTTTGTGTCTTCACGCCAGCTGACCAGAGTTCAACAGTGGAAATATGGAAAAATTTAAGTCTGCATTATCGATCGCAGTGTTCACTCGGCTGTCGACAAAAGCAGGCCACTCTCGATGTGTGCTACGCGATCGTCTGTTTTCTCGGCAGCAACCATTGTGTGGTCCTCCTCATTGTTCTTCATCAGCAGTTCTTTCGGTCGATTATTCGTCGACTTTGGAAAGCAACCGTTTCGTGATGAATGTGTGAGTGCTGACCACGTTTTGCGTCCATTGCTGCAATGGACGCGCTCTGACCCTCGTTGGCGTACAAAAATTTGCCATACAATGAAACTACTAGAAGCGGCTCCAGTTCTGATCGAGGAGGCTTTTTGGATAGCGGAAGATAAAGTGTTTATTGTGTTGTACCTTTTGACTATAGTTTTAAGATGTATTGTATAGTGACCAATAATCATCGGCTCTGTAAAGTTAATTCGGTTGAGCCTTATCAAATAAATTAATAAACAAAAAAAAAAAATTATCGATCGATTTTCATTAACAATGTCTAGAATTTAACACACAACTTGTTGCCATATATAAATTGAAATGGTTCGCAAAATAATATAAAATATGGAATGATCTCACCGATCTCTCAAAAATTACATGGTCCAAATCGCAGAGTTTTCATTTTGTAAGCAACAGAAACAGAAGAGCAGCAACGCCTCTACCGATAGATGTGCCGCTGGCCGTATTCGTCCACCTTCTTTTTCAGCTCGGAAACATAAATACACCGGAACTGCTGCTGGTTTCCGAATCTTCAGCATTCAGCTGCTCCAAAATATCAGAGGTAACCAAAATCGTAAAAGCACCACTAAACTTCTCAATCCGTAAATTTTACTCTTGAACCGTGCACAAGAAAATACAAATCTTACGCCGGAACCGAAAATAACGGAAAACCCGAATCACAGCTCACACGACCACGATTCCGTTAAAAATACTTGTGGAAATAACCTTCAATTTTTATACTCACGTACTTTCTAGAAAAATCTTATCAAGCGCCTTCAACCAAAAATCGAAAAAACGCGGCGAAAAATATAACATCTGACAAATTTTCGCGTCCGTTTAGAAGCAGGGCACACTTCGATCCTCGATATTTGGTATTTACTTCGTAAAAAATACTCGTTGTTTGGGATTTACTTCGTAATGGAATCGGAGTGACATGTAGGAACCGGGAATCCATGTCTGAAGCCATTTTGAAATCCAAGCGGCATCCAAAAGCTTGAAAATTCTATCAAACACCCCACAATATGGGTATTTTTGGATTTTAAGTGACGTGTCCGGGACCGGAAATAGATGTCTTAAACCATTTTGAAATTCAATAGGCGGCTTCCAGTTACAGAAAAACAGCAAAATATAGTTAAGTATATTAAGCACAATATGGGTATCTTTGGAATCGGGGTGACGTGTTAGAACTGGAGATCCATGCCTGGTACCATGGTGAAATACAATATGGCGGCTTCCGGTTACAGAAAATTTGGAAAATATTATCAAATACCTAACAATGTTGGTATGTATAGAATCGGGGTGACGTATAAGGACTGAAAACCCATGTGTGACGCCATTTTGAAATTCATTATGAAGCTGTCACAGAAACACAGCAAAATATTATTGAACTACCCTCAATATGGGTAACTTTGGAATCGGGGTGACGTATTAGAACTGGAAATCCATGTATGACACCATTTTGATATCAAAAATGGTGGCATCCAGCCACCATCTTGGATCAAAATGGCGTCACGTCACCTCGATTCCAAAAATACCCAAATTGTGGGGTATTTTACAGAACTTCCAAGCTTTTCTCCAACTGGAAGCTACCATATTGGTACTCAAAATACCGTCAGACATGAATTTCCGGTCCCTACACGTCATTCCGACTCCAAAAATACCCATACTAAATACGACAAGACATCGTTTGCTGGCTGTTTCCGCGAGTATTGTTGGCATTTCAGGTACCCGGTTCAAGCTTCGGTTGGCTGTGGCGACTTTTCATTTTCAGGGCACCAATACGGAGCATTAGATTTGATCAAATTATTCGCAGTTCAATTCGTCCAACGCTCCCAGCTGGGTCCCCAGAGGATGGCTCACACAAACACAATATCCAATATATTTATTGTTCCCTCAAAGAAGGCTGACATCAGACTGAAAAGCCGGTGTTTCTAAATTCACTTCCCAAGATCTATAATTGACAAGTCCTTAAGGTGAACATATTTCGAGACCATAAGTTCTCAACATTCTAAAATTTCTGCGTTTTAATGTCTGCAGCCTCAATCTTCTTACATTCGCAACATACATTGAACTCCAGCTATGATATGCTGTTTTGATATGCAGCAAAAATGTGATACTGAACTGCAGCCTGAGCCAATTATTGTTTCTTACCCTATGTTCACATAGATTGAATAAAAAAAATCGAACCAGACTTCCTACCTAAAACACCGTTGATAAGAGTTTGCATCCCATGGGCTATACTACCCCGAATCATTCAATACGGTACATCCAACTCCTTTGTTTTCCCACACCTTTACAAAACTCACATAAGCGATAGTCCATCAAAATTTGTTCCATTGTCTCAATCGCTCTATTCACAACCAATTCCAATGATTGCACTCATTCCATTAAATCTCTCCCCACCTCCATCGCTCCCCAAAGAAACCTTCACACGTGCACACACCTCCAGTCAGTCTGTTTCGGTCCAATTTGCTTATGTTGCATCTCTAGTATAGTTCACAGAAGCCTAGTAGAATTGTGGTAGTAGAAGTAGTACACGAGCAGCCTCAGTAGTAGTTCCCCATCAACCCCTCCCCTCTCGCCCATTGTCAATATTCATCCGCCACACCGCGCGCCCTTGAGGAAATTTCTCTAACTACTCACAACTAACAACGAACACAAATTAAATATTCATTACGCTACGTACTGTGAAATACATTCACCCCACTTACGCACGATCACATACACACACATACATCGGTGACGACCTTCTCCGTCTGGTATTTCATTATACTTTCTATTAGAACACATTTGACATCTACTACCGCAATTCACTTGCGTCGCACTCTCACACAATCGCTCCGGAAGTTTTGAAACACAAAAAATCCTTTTTTTTAAAGTCAGTCGCAGCTTTTTACACAACACTTGCCCACCTTTCTCTTATATCAAGTAAAAAACGTAACTGTTTTCCCTTTGTTTTGTTCAAAGAATGTTCTTTCTTAGCAATTCATTTCTCTTCTAAAAAGTTTAGTGTAGTTTTTGTTTATGACTAGGGGGCGCAATAGTGTAACAGTTTTGTGGTTCAACATGTTTCTGAGTATAGTGTTAGTATGAGTTCAATTTTTTATTATACAAACCTCATGTACAACGATGTGTGTAAGTAGTTCAACTAGAGAAGGGCGTATGGGATGAAGCCGAAAACGAAGCGTATCTTTCATATGTTGTTGTTATTGTTGATGTTGATGTTGTTGTTGTTGTTGTTGAAGTTGCTGGTGAAGTAACGGAGTGCAATTACATTACACACACGCGCACGCGTGCACGCGATTTGGACGTGATTAGCCTATGATGACGATGACGACCTGTGATGAAACCTAACGTCACGTGACGACGAACCATCGGAGGGTTTGCACGTGCCACCGGACGAATGGGACGGCCGAGGACGCGACGAGTGCCAGCAGCAAGGTGAGCAGCTGGGGTCCCGATGCTGTGGGCGGCCGAGTGGCTCGGCTGATTTCCGGCCAAACCACTTGCACCTCGGCCATCTTGAAGATGCTCAGCAGACGGTGGGCGGACATCTCGACGTGCTGGGTGTTGATCTGGTGACTGATGGTTTCGAGGATCTTTGTACAGTGGTCCTGCGGGGGTAAAAGGGGGGGAGAAAACGGGATAATAGGCGATGAGCTTGGTTGGTTAGCAAGGGATGGTAAATTTACGAAATCAGTTCTGATTTCGGACTAGGCTTCACTGCCTCACATCTCTGTGGACCTCAGATAGCGTGCACACTTCGAAAAAGTCATGTAAATGTCAGTGCCCTGAGGAGCGTTGGAAAAGTTTGCGATATTTCACGAAAGGAAAAGTTCACGAATCATAGTGAGTTTTGGTGAACTTTTCCAACACTGGCTTTGAGACTGCAATCGGCCTTTTTGACATTTAAGAATCACTTTTTATTTCTTTGATTTGTTTTTCGTCGATCTTGTTTTCCGTACTGAGAACGAATGCTACCGACGCCAGTGAGGCAGCTCCCACACCAGGACCCTACTTACGACCCATCAACTGATAGCCCGGGATCAAAGATTTTATGCATCAGAAAATCCAGACGGTGCCGACTGGGATTGAATCCAGGCACGTTGGAGTGAGAGGCAGCCACGCTTACCACCGGTGCCACTTTTTAAGAATCACTTGAAAGAGACGAGAAAATCAAATCAATCAAACGGACTTTACGTCAAGTTGCGTATGTTTCAGGTTCGGAACATTTAATTTAAATGTCATATTTGTTTACGTTCCATGATTTACGTCAAAGATTAAATTAATGATTTCCCTCTGGAGTACCTTTTGAATATGTTCAGTATTACTTGTGAGAACCCAAATCTCTACCGGTGTATTTCTTGATCTCTTGGATCAATTCTGACGCATTATTTCAGAATCCTTTTAGAATCACTTCCAGATTATCTTCTGCAGAACATCTTCTGAAATATCTCTAGAATCTAGTACTTTCAGAATCTATTTCGTAGTACCGTAAACCGGGGGGAAGTTGATCACATTTTGCGGATTAATCTGAATATTTTCCAACCATATTTCATGACAAAAGGTCGAAAGACGAAAGATCGACAAGACAGAAGGTCCAAAGTCAAAAGGTCGGCTTGTCAAAAAATGAAAAAAAGGTTCCAATCAAGTATCAAAAATATACATACTTTTTATGATTTCAAATCCAGCAATCCGTTTGCACACATTCCTTCCATATTTGCTTCAGATTGCATTTCCACAATCCAGTGTAGCTTGTTTTTGACCTCTTATCATTAATTACTGCAGAAAACCATCGGCGAGGGGGGAGGAGGTGTTTCTTTTATTCCCTGTGAAGGATTCCTTCAGAAACTTATGAAAAATTCCTCCCGATTCCAATAAATAGTTCCTTCAAAGCCTCTTAGAGGTTTCCGCAATATTGAGATTTCTTTTATTTTCCTAAAAGTATACCTCGTGAGGGGCTGAGAACTCATGTGAAAAATGCTTCCTCCTGACTGGGAATTCCACCGGAACTGCTCTGGAAAGCTCTCATCGATCTTCCAAAATTCACTTCAATCCCATTGGGAGATTACTCCTGCACCCTTTTGGGGAATTTCTTTTGAATCTTTTTGGATGTTCATATCATCATTAGAATACTTTTTCATATCACGGAACACTCTTAAATCTCCTTGGATTCCTCCAGAACCTATTTGAATTATTCCTTAAAAAATCCTAAAGATAATTTGTCCAAAATTCTTTTTGAGGGAATCCTCCTGAATTCCTTTGGAAGATTTCAGTTGATCTCCTCTTAAGGATTTCTCTTGGACCTTTTCTAAAGAGATCCTCAAGCCCTGAGCGATCCCGTTACAGCTCCTGTGAAGAATTCCTCCAGAACCTTCCTGATAAATTTCATCAGAAGAATAGAATATTCCTCCTAAGACCCTGAGGAGATTTTTTCAAAACCTCCTTTAAATGATTCCTGCTGAAAGGCTTTAGGAGATTTTTCCTGCACCTTTATATTTCTTTTAAACCTTTTCCGATTACTCTTTCAGAACCCTTATACATGATAACTCCAAATCTTTTTTTGGTGATCAGTTTCTAGTTAAAAGATTACAACGACACCTCTGTCCTCCATAGCACGATTGGCTCATGATTTTTTTTTATATTCCTTCAGAATCTTTGAAAAGAATTCCTTGGGAAATCATGCATAGGATAATTGCCACAAAACTGCTTTGGAGAATACTTCCTGAATACCTTTGACGGGATTCTCTTGAATCTATTGGAGGGATTTCTCTTGAACATCTTCAGATAATTCTTCCCAGATCTTCCCAGGGATTTCTACAAACCCTTATGGTGATTTTGGGTGAATCTGTAAGAGGGATCTCTCTAAAACACATGTAAGGAATTCTTCCAGAACTTCACTGAGGCATTCCTTTATAACACCTCTGGAAGATTCTTCCTGAACCCTTGAATAGAATTATTGTAAGTTTTACTTTCCTCCTGATTCACTTTGGGACAGTTTCCCGCTCCCTTTTGAAGGATTTCTCTTGACCCCTTATTCTTCCAGAACTTCTTTGAGGAGTTTCTCCAAAACTCTTTTGGATAGTTTATCAGTATATTGATAAACCTGCCAAAGGTTGAAAATCATTTTAATAAAGCAAAAAAAAAAAACAGATTCCAACAATAGAATGTGATTGAAGCATCCCTCCAAAACCTCCGGTGAAACTGTCTCAAAATCCGCCATTTAAGATACAACCTGTATTCCTTTGATGGGATTCTTTTGAACCCCTTGGAAAAAAAAGTCTATTCAATAAGTTTGAGAAATTCCTAAAGCACCACTTTAAGGGATTCCTTTGAAGCATCTTTGGAGAATGCTTCTTCATTCTATTTAGGAGATTCTTGCAAAATTCCAATGGCAATTTCCCTGCACGATCTCTCCAAAACTTCTTGTGAGGAATCATTTCAGAATTTCTTTTGGGGAATTCCTTCCTAACCCCTCTGGAATAGTCTTCGAGGGCACATGAGAAGCATTGTTTTTTCAAAATTCATATGAAATATTCTTCCTGAATCCTTTTGTCATGCTACATCCTTTTGAGAGGATTTATTTTGGGACATCCGGAACTTGTATTGGAGACTGCTCCATGTCTCTTGATTTTTTGTTTGATTCCTCCAGAACGTCATTGGACTATTCCTTCAGAACCACAGAAGAGAATTTTTCCCAACCGTTTCTGGGGACACCTAATGAATCCCTTTGGTGGGTTTCTCCTGAACCCCTTTGAGGGATTTCTCTTGAATAATTCTGGGAAATTCCATCAGGGGATTCCCTTTAGCGGTGCCGATGGTGTAGTGGTAAGCGAGATTGCCTCTCACCCCAAAAGGCCTAGGTTCAATCCCAGTCGGCACCGCCGGGATTTTCTGAAACATAAAATCTTTGATCACGCCTTCCTTCGAAAGAGAAGTAAAGGCGTTAGTCACCAGTTCATGAGTCGATAGGTATGGTCCAGGTTTGGGAGCTGCCTCCATGGCGTCGGTAGCATTGATACTCAGTACGGAAAACAAGATCGACGGAAAACAAATCAAGGAAAAAAAGAGATTCCTTTAGAACACATATCGAGAATTATTGCAGAATCTAGTTAGGAAATTCCTACAAAACACCTTTGGAACTTGCCGTTTAGGGTGATCCTCTAAAACTCCTGTGATTTATTCATTTGGAAGTTTCTTCTAGAACTCCTGAGGAGAGTTCTTCCAAAACCTCTGTGTAAGATTCCTCCTGAATACCTTTAGGAACTGGCAGTTATTGAGAAGTTGTAGATTCCTCTCCCACTGCGTGGATAGTCATCCATACACATTTTTATTAACTTTTATGGACCGTTGACATTTGCCTACTGCACACATCTATGAAAATAGGTGGCAGTAACTTGATTTTGACCGAAATAAGTTACATACAAGTACCCACCACTGCTTAGTGACAAATGTGCTGCTAGGATATCCCTCCCTCCTAAACTGTCCACATCGTATATGGACAGCTAATTTGGAGATGTCCTCCAGAATTTATTTGGCAAAATCCTCCGAAACCCCCTGGAAATAATTCGAGAATCTCATCCAGGGACGGAAGTGAGACGGAAATGAAATCTGATAGCAAACGCTGGATTGGAACACAGTAGTGCATCTCAGCGAAGACAGACCATGGGGCTCGTTTTTTATGAAGCCTTAATAGAGACATTGAGAAAGTCGGCTGAAGTTTGACCTGGACGCCGGTTAATGCAAAAGCAAACTTCTGCTCCGTCAGAAGCTTCCCTTAGCTCAGTCGGTATAGGCGCAGCTACAAAGTAAGACCATGCTGGAGGTGGTTGGGTTCGATTCCCGGTCCGGTCTAGAAATTTTTCGGGTTGGAAAATTTTTGAACTTCCCTGGGCATAGAGAAAATTTCTCAACTTCCCTGGGCAAGAAGAAGAAACTTCCACTCAGGATAAAAGTCTTTCACGTTGGTCATTTGTACCAGTGGACGTGCTCACGATATTTCCCTATGAACATTACATTCAGAACTTCTTCGTGGAAATCCTCCATAGCACCAATTGGGAATGCCTCTCTAGAATATCGTTTTATTCTTTATCGTTCTATGAAGGATTCCTCCAGAACTCCATTGATGAACTCCTCCTGAAGCCTTGAAGAGAATCCCTGCTTTGAGTGATTCCTTCATAATGTATTTGGGCAGTGATGGCATCATTATCATCAATTGATATTTTTCCGCTCTCACACACTCTCAAGATCACGCGTGATTTGAGCAAATTTTTATGCTTGACATTGAATCTTACAAGCTCCTTTGATATTGCGAGACTATTCACAACGTGTAAGGTTGAAGCTGAGAGTTGAATGGGCGTAAAAATTTCCGGGATTCCGTTGCACCTCGTTTTCTTGGAAAGAGAAGTTAAAATAATTCTATCTCTTTTTTTTTCTTCACCGATGGCAGATACGAAGCAATTGCTGGCAACCGTTATGGAAGTTCGGTTGCAACTGCTGGCAACCGTTATGGAAGTTTCGGTTGCATTCGGGCATAGTCTGTCGTTCGGGTGTAAAGCAAAAATCATGAAACTCAATCTTACCACAGTTTGATGAAATTTACAGCTGATGAGTT